GGCAGAGCTTGCAGCACAGCTCAAAGCTTGGCACCATTCCTGGCGCCAGGCGATTGGATCCCCTCTCTGGCTTCTAGGTTCACAGGCAGCTGGGCAAAGAATGAGGATCTCCACATAGTGGGGATTTTGTTAAGCGCCAAGTCTGAGGCTGCACATGCTCAGTTTACCATAGTCGGGCCCTCCTGGAACCTGGGTGGTGCTCAGAAGACAACAGGCACCCAGAGCGGATGTGGGGCGTCCCGGCAGTCGGGCCCAGGAAAGCCAGGCAGCACCCGTGTGCGTCGGAGTTCATGAGCCTTGTGTTCCTGCGGCAGCAGTGTGATCGTTCTTTTCTGAATGTAGATGTGAAGCGGTTTTCCAGCACTTGTTTGTTCCTCCATCATTAAGTGTTTGTGATGTCCTGTGTGCCTGCATAAGACAGGGATGGTCTTGGCCTTGGTGCCCTGGCAGCCAGTGACCCAGCAACGGAAGTGGGATGGAGAGCTTTGGAAGACAGAGTTTCCTGGGGTTGGATGGCCCCATTTGCAGAAACTTTCTGTTGGAATCCAGAAATTATTTGAGTGTGCAGAAGAGGGCACCATGCCAGTCTGTTCTCTACTTACAGATTCATGGAGGTTGTTAGAAGCCATCTATGCTTTTTACAGTTCAGGCTGTCTTCTGCAAGAGGCGTGTGAAAGGCTAATGTGCATATGGTAGACTTTTATTTGTTGGCTGTGATCCAGAGTACTTTGCTCTCCCTATAGGATAGGACTGTTGCTCTCCCTGCTTTATAGATGAGCGAGCAGAGGCCCAGACAGCTTCAGCCACTTGCCTGGGGCTGCTGTTGGGAAGTGACCGTGAAGGGGCGTGTGCGCCAGCCTGGGCTCCGCGCTCTGCCCTGGAGCAGGTGCTGCTGTGGCCGGCTTCTGAGTGCTGAGCACTTAGGGCTGTTTGGAAGGTAAAGTTCTGCATAAATATTGCTGTAAGTTCTAAGAGCTTTCGTATTCTCTTGAGTATAGAAAACTTTTGTGAGAGAATGGGGGATTTTACATTTAATTTTCAGTTTCACATATAAATGCCCTACACCCTAAATTAAAGAAGGAAAGGTTTATTTGGCTCACAGTTTGTGGAGGTTTCAGTCCATACTGGGCTGGCTCGAAGGCAGGATGGCACATGGAGAGGGCAAGCAGTGCATGGCAGCGGAAAACAGCAAAACAGCAAGAGCAGAAAGGGAGGAGAAGCCGGCACGGCAGCAGAGAGCAAGCCTCTCTGCCCTCCTTATATTGAGTTCAGGCTGTCCGCGGGTGTAGCACTCCTACCCATAATCCCAGCATCGGATCATGAGTTAATCACAAACTCTGGAAGCCCGCCTCCCCAGCACGGAGTTTTTGAGGGGGACAGCTAGACATAAACATAGCACACCCCAGTGAAACCCAGGTCCCTGTGAGCCTGTTTAATCATTTGGTGCCAACAGAAGTGACCGACTTGTAAATGATTCAGACCCAGTAGGAAGAGAACAGTCATTTGTCTTGAGACTTTGAAGGTGGAAAATAGGCTGGGGTAGGAAGCTCTCCGTGAGCGAGTTCCAGGCCAACCTGGGCTACATACTGAGACCCTGTCTCAAAAAAAAAAGGCTAGTGGTGCTGGGGAGATACCTCAGTTGAATAAGCGCTTGCCTGGTAAGCACAGGGTCCTGAGTTCAGTCCCTGGTCTCACACACACACACACACACACACACACACACACACACACGGTTGGAAATAGTTTTTCATATGATTTCAGAAAATGGTACTGATTTTCCTGTTTTCAGCTAAAACAGTAAGATATGTATATTTTGCTTAACTATTTTAGATTTTTAAATTTGAGCAGGTTATTTTACAGTATTTACAGATCCAGTGGCACCTTGGTTCCTGAACTTAATTTGTCCCATGATTTTAAAAGATGGCCACATTTGTGTTTATGTGGAAAAAATGGCCATGGTTGTGTTTGTCACCTGATGTAGAATTTACAAAGAATAGAATCATGCCAAACACTTGTTTGCGAACCAAACTTCACAAAAGTGTTTGTGAACCAAGGTACCACTGTATTAAGTGGTTTTGAGGCTGAAGTATTGTGCTTTGCAGCCACTTGTTAGTATAGTTTTTGCTGTATGGGTTTTGCACTTGGACTGTTGGTTGTTTAACAAATCATACTGTTTTTTTTCCCTGCTATCCTGTTTGAAGGCTCCCTCTTGAGTCCCCTCCAGGAAGGAGTGTAAGCAAGTGTACCTCCTCTACATGATGTAAGAAATGGCCTGCTTAATCAGAGCAGGCTCTGGCCTTGGAGGCTGTGCAGTGCAGCGAGCGAGCCTTCCACAGGTTGGGGCAGGTGGGCTCGCCCTAGGACACATTTAAACATGGCTTTGAAGGGACGCAGAAGCTGGAGTTGTGCTCATCCTCCCCTCAGCATTTATTTCAAAATATGTGTCGGAGGTGCCCATGCAGCTTGGAGACTTCCCTATCCAAAGTGGGCGAGGCTAGAAGCCCTTCCCACGGTGGAGTTCAGACGCAGAGCGTTTACCTCGGGCCTCACTCACTGAGCGAGCACCCCTGCTGCAGCAGTGTGAAATCTGAGGTCCTCTCAAGTAGGAAACTCGTACCGCATAAGTGCCGACAGTTCCACAGTCTGGGCTTTCAGACTGGGAGTACCCAGCTTGTATATGTCTGAATTATGTTGGACTAGAAAATTAAAGATGGAGCATTCTTGCTTATTGTTTGTAAGCAGAACATTTAAATTGCCTGGTCAAACACAGAATTATTTTGGGTGAGCATGCCACATGCATCCCATGTATTTTGTTGACTTTACATAAAAAGTGTGACTTGATGCCGCCCTGCCCCGCCCCGCCCCGCCCCGCCCCGCCAGAATCTCACTATGTAGTTCAGGCAGGCCTTGAATTCACGATGATTCTCCTGCCTCGGCTTCCCTACTGCTGGGATTATAGGAAGATGCCGTTTCACCCCGCTCTGAGACTATTTTATTTATTTATTCATTTATATTATCTTTTTGAGACAGGGTCTCGCTGTGCAGTTCAGGCTGACCTTGAACTCACTTAAGTAGTCCAGGCTGGTTCTCCAATGCACAGTGATCCTCCTGCCTCAGCCTCCTGAGTGCTGTGTGTATCACCATGCTCAACCTCTGAGACTCTTTAAAAAAGAAGAATTTGTCCTTGAGGAAGAAGTAGCAAGTCCATTGAAACTCTTCATGCAGATTTAAAAGGTAACTGCATGATAGTCTGTTTGCTCAAAATAATTTTTCTAATGTAAGTATATCCATATCTGGGCTGGCCGAATAGCTCAATGGATTAAAGCCCCTGCAAGCAGGTGCAGGCGCCAGGGGTTCATCCCCTGGCCTGCCGTGCTGGCCCCACCCCCGAGGCACGCTGAGATGGTGATTAAGACTAGACGTGGTGGTACATGCCTGTAATCGCAGCTCTTGGGAGGCTGTAAGCAGGTGGATCAGTGTGAGTCTGATCTAGTAGTGAGACCCTGAACACCCTGTAGGCCCTTCCCTAAAATAAAGGAAAAAAAAAAGCATATCCATATCCGAAGCACCACAGCAGTAAGTCTTGACATTATGATAAAGGCCACATGTTAGTAAGAGTAAAAAGCCTAACGAGGCCTGCGCGTGCGACGCAGGTTCTCCCTCCCGCTTAGATTCCTTGGGAATGTCTGTGGTGTTGGCTGTGTCTTCATCAGTGCCTCTGTAGAGTGATGAGCTCTCGTGCCCGCCTTATAGAGGATGGTGAGGATTTCCTTGGTTTTACCTCAAGTGCTAAAGAAAACCTGCGAGAATTTGAGCTTTGGGGCTTTGTGTACCATGTTTTTAGGGAATTCCTCATGCTTGTGTTTTCATAAAGATTCCACGTCTGTGTGGAGCCTAGCTTCCTTGTCACTCTTAGCTAGCCAGCAGCCTTGTAGGTCCTGGCCTGGCGAGTGGGTATCTTGCAGCGGCCTTGCGGTGCTCTGAGGAGCAGGGCAGAGCAGGCTTTTCAAGAAGATGCCAGGCATGTAGGATCAGAAGGTACAAATTTGTAAGAAGCACAGTTATGAAAAGCTAAGGAGTGCTGGCTTAGTGCTTAAGGGTAGAGTGATAGTGAGTGCACATTGTCCCCATGATAATTGTTACAATTGTTAACTGTATTTTTGTTTTTTTGTTTTTTTTTTTTTTTGGCAGAACTGGGGATTGAACTCAGATCCTTGCGCTTGCCAGGGAAGCGCTTATTCCACTGGGCCATCTCCCCGGCCCCTAACTGTTCTTTTTGAGAAGTTAATTTTTCTTTTTGGGACAATATCTTTAAGTTCTGCTGTGCAAATGTGGTGTTTTAAAAATTCTCAGTATTTGAAAGGCTGGCTGGAAGAAACAGTTTTGCTTTGTGAAGAGTCAGAGTTAAGTAGCTATTGAAAAATATTCTGTGTTTATCTAACATTTTTTATCCAAAGGAATTAAGCTGTTTAGTGCTTTTCATAATGATTTGGTTCCTTTAAATACACACATTTTTCTGTTATGTCAAAGGTTTCTTACTTTTGTTCGGGTATAAATTGGATTTCTTTTTTGAAGTAAAGCAGTTTCATAGCTGTAGCTTATGGTTGTGTTAAATAGATAGAAAAGAATGCCATCTTGAGAAGATAAACGTCACGAAATTTCCAAGTAGACATTAGTCTTTTGGATTAATGGGAAAGAAGGTCAATAATTGCATGGATTTCAATAAGCTTAAAAATAATACTCTTGTTGCACTGTAATAATATTAAAACATTGAATTTCATGCTACATTCTGTTTATTGACTGTTTCGTTATGGCAGGATAACTGTACAGCCTGTCACTTATATATATGTGCGTGTGTGTAGAGCGAGGGTCATAGCCAGCTGGCCGCAGGAGAGATATTACTTGGAGTTTTCAGAGGGATCTTCAGGACCATGTATACATTTGAGAAATACAGAGTATTTTTTCTGCCATTCACCCTGCTTTCCATTGCGGTTCTTTAGGGTCCTCCGGAGTTTCCACAGCACACGCCTGGACCTGTTCCTAACAACTTTAGCCAGCCCCCGAGACTTCCTCTCCAGGACCAGTGGAGAGCCCCACCCCCGCCGCAGGACCGAGACCCGTTCTTCCTGGGAGGTAGAGAAGGGACTTTGGACACAGAGCCAGGGTGGAGTGGGCATGCTGGAGTAGTTTCTGTGGAAGCTGCCTTAGCTCCCAAGGACGTGCTCAGGGGTCAGCTTTTGTACTGTGCATTTCTGCCCTCATTTCACTTATTCACAGTGGGCAGTGTTGATGTCTGAAATGTGGGGCTGTTACACAAGAAGGAAACTGTATAGCAAATGACCTGCAAAGCAGTTAGAAGAGGGCTTGATCTAGGATTTTGTCTAACTAGCCACGCCTCTGCACATTTGTAGTTTTGCCCATGGCCAGACAGTTCACAAGCCTCTTGTCTGAGAAGTGTGTAGACTTTCTGACTTGCAGACACCACTGTACTGCTGTTCAGTTTCAGGTGAACCAAGGTTCCCCAGTCACCTGTTTCTGGAGCAGCGCAGCCCCCCTCCACCTCCGCCGCCTCCCACGCTTCTGAACAGCAGCCACCCTGTTCCTGCGCAGAGCCCCTTACCATTCACGCAGCCAGGACCAGCATTCAGTCAGCAGGGACAGCAGCCGGTGTTCCCGAGAGAGCGGCCCGTGCGACCTGCCCTGCAGCCCCCAGGGCCCGTGGGGATCCTGCACTTCAGCCAGCCAGGGTCTGCCACCACCCGGCCTTTCATCCCTCCCAGGCAGCCGTTCCTGCCTGGCCCGGGCCAGCCCTTCCTGCCCACACACGCACAGCCCAGCCTGCAGGTAGGCCCGGGAGCAGCCTCGAGGGAGACCTTGTGTGCCACAGCTGCGCTGCGAGAAAACACGTTCTGGGTGCCACGCGAGCCTGTTGCTTTGTAGTTAAAAAACGTTGGGATTCATTTAAAATGTACCATTTTCTGGATGGTAGGGCTTGTTTCTCAAACACAAAGAGAAATAGAAAAAATGATTGTTAGTTTTGGGAAGTTAAAAAATACGCTGTTTGATCCTGCACTAGATAGTGAGAAGGCCCTTTGTGGTGCGACAGGCTCGCTACTGTCTGCTGGTTGGGAGTGTGTTCTTGGGCAGACACAGGTCTTTGTGATAGCTTTTTTATCTGGTGTATTCCTTCTTAAAGTTGTTTTAATTAATAGTGGTTTTCTTAACTTAGAAGCGCATAGGGATATGTACCTAAATGATAAAAGGAGAAGTGGTTAATATTTAAAGTGTTGATGATTACGTGTCTTTTTTTGGGGGGGCACCAAGAACCAAATGCTTACCAAGCAGGCGCTGTGCTGGTGAACTATCTCCTGAGCCCTTAAGTGCCTTTAAAGTTTTTTCCTTTTATAAAAATTCATCTCCATTGTAGAAATATTAGAATGTAGATAAATTTAAGAAAAGGAAATTCAGTCAGTTCATTACCTAGAAACAGTCGCTGTGGACATGTTGGCGTGGGTTGCTAGTCTTCCAGCACCAAGCCCTCCTTCCTGTGCCCCCAGTTGCTGCGTCCTGGGGCCCTTTGCAGTCCGCATGTCGTCTTTTCCCATAGAACCTGAGCCCCTGAGCAGCGCTGCTGCTTTGCGCGTGCCTGCTGGTTTTGGTGCGGGGCTCTAGGGGTCTTACCCGAGGCTCTGTGCTGGGTCACATGCAGGCTGAAGGTAAAGTTTAAGGTGGTAGCTGTTGATGAATTTCTGTACTTAAGACAGTGTTACCTTCATCAGCAAAGTTAAAGTGTAGCTTTGTACTGCCTGTTGTTTCTTTCTGGGATGGAAGTTTTTAAAGAAGCATTTGATCTGGAATGTGCCTGCTGTATCCGCACCTATAAATGGTTGTTTCTCTTCCTTGCATGACAGGGGCCCCTGCACCCTCCTCTGCCCCCTCCTCATCAGCCCCAGCCCCAGCCGCAACAGCCACCACCGCAGCACCATCAGCACCAGCCCCCGCTCCAGCCCCCGCCCCCGCACCAGCCCCCGCCGCAGCACCAGCCCCCGCCGCAGCACCAGCACCACCACCACCTCTCCGCGCCACCCCCTCCTCTGATGCCCCTGTCCCAGCCACAGTTCCGACCACATGTGCAGACGGCACAGCCACAGCCCGGCAGCGGTCGGGTGCAGTGTTCCCCGCGCCAGGGCCCACGGCACGTGAGTATTGCCGGCTTCCCTTGTAACTTGAAAGTAGAGCTCAAGGGACATATTAGTGGGATTGTCTTCTAGGTCTGACTTGAGGTAAATGGCTATGTTGTTCGTTCTTCTGAAGCAAATCTGTGTTTTAAGAAAAACTTAGGAAATTGTTTTCTTGACTACAGAAGTAAATGACTTACTCTGTGCTTAAAGCATTTAAAGATTGTGTTAGTGTTTACTTCAGCGTCTTACTTCCATGTGAGGTGATCAATCCTAATAGACATGTCACTTTAGAATGTACTTTCAGGTGGTAAGTCATGCTGTTTTTGCCAGTGACTTAATTTTTGCTACATAGTTTATCTCTCTTTGGCTTCTAAACGCATCCAGGAGGTTCTGGCTGACCCGTTGCCAGGTTCTCAAGTTTCAGCAGTCAACAGGAGAGACCAATCCCTGGCTTTAAAGAACTTCCCTTTAGTGGTGGGAAATTGACACCTACTAATTGGTCGGGAATCAGGACTCCACTGCTTGATTCCTCTGCGTTTCTGCCTTGAATTAGGGGTGCTCTTGATTCCATAGAGTCTTTAAGGCAGATAAGAGTACTTTTTGGCTTGTGAGGTCTATTAAAAATGTTAGTCCTGCTCCTGAAGCTCCAGCCCTAAATTACCTGGTAAGATTTCTGTACCCAGGAGCCTAGTGTAGGCAAACGGGTTGCTTTTCCTCGATGTCTGTAAGCAGCCCGTGAGGTATGTGTATGCGTGAAAGCGTCAGCTGCCCAGAAAGGAGTCAGTTGCTAATGAGGTTTTTAAAAATTTCATGATGTGCCTTCCTTAAGTTCCTTCTGCCAGCTTCGCAGCTGTAATTAACTATTTTTGCTCTTGCGATAGAATGCAACATCTCAGAATCTAACCAAACGGCCCATGCAGCAGATGCAGCCCACAGCTCCCAGGAACAGCAATCTGCGCGAGTTGCCCATAGCGCCCTCGCATGTTCTCGATGTAAGCAGCAGTCGCTGCGCTTCCACACCCGCTCAAGTGAAGCCGGCCGTCAGCACGTCCCCGCCTGCAAGGACTATGGCAGCTTCCAGGAACTCACAGGGAAAGACGGACTTGAAAGTCAAGCCAGTCAGCCCTGCGGCGCAGCCTAAGGAAGACTCAAAAACAGAATCAGAGGTCGGCCGTTTTCTTCGTTAAAAATGTTTGGTCTCGAATAGGAAACCTTTCAGGTCAAGTCAAGAGTTCACTCATCCAGGGAGTTGCTCATCAAATCTGCCCAGTTTTTCTTTTCCCCAGTTGAGTTTTTTAGCCGAATAGCCAATATTCTCAGAGGTTTACCACATAAGATTTTATATATTTGTCCAGTTATTGTTGCATTCTATAGAATCATGTGTGTGTGTATATATATATGTATATGTGATTGACACTTATTTGATATATATTTCTATGATATCCATATCATATATATGTGTATATATATCAGGACTTAGAAGTTTTGTTGTTTTTTTTTGAAAGGGCCCAAGTACTCTGTAAATATTTCAGGCATGTAGTCAGAGCTATGATAATTCTTCAAATCTGCATGTTGGTGCAAAGGCAGCTCAATTATCAGTTCCTACAGAAGTGGACCTGCCTGTGTCCCAGCGCACTCCCAGAATCAGGAGGGTCCCGCTCTGGCCTGCTGGCTATGCTCTGCGGGTCCCCAGCGTGCACTGGTTTCTGTGGTGCTTCTCCTGACACACACTGTGGACTCCTGCCTCACTTTACTCTTGGTCCTCAAGACTTGAGGGTTTGGTTTGTTTGCAGTATATCTATATTGTTAATTCTAAAAGAGGTGCAGAACGTACTAAGTGCAGGTCAGTGTGGACACCGTTTGCACTTGAGGCCCTGCTTTTCACAGCTTCAACTTCCCTATTTGTTAAGTGAGGGTGATGCCAGGCAGGGTGTGTGTGCCTGGGCCTGGCAGGAGACGCCTGGTGGTGTGTCCACGGCAGGTTTATATGTAGTAGAAAGCAGCAGCATGACAGGTTAGCACTTAATAGAGCAGTGACGGCGAGAGGCTCTTCTCCAAGTACAGATTTAAGCAAGTCATGCTTTCTTCACTTTTATTCAAAACCAGTTACTACTGGTTTCATCTTTTAGTTAATTGTTAAAATCAGATTTTCTTCTACTCAATTACTATAGCACTTGTAATGTAATGTTACCAAATCACAGTTGTAAATATGAAGTCCAAATCTTTTGTTTCCTTTTCATAAGATCTCGTGAGAAGGGCGACTTCTGGTTTACAGTCAGTACATGAAAACAGAATATAGATTTAAGAATGGAATTAGGATAGTTTATAATTTTCTTTGCTAAAAATGTTATAGTGCTTTTAGTTTATATAATAATAAAGGATGATTCTGTTTTGATGAAAGTCTTTTAAATATTCCCGGCTACATTTCATTTCATTTCTTTTTTTGCGGTTCTGGGGGTTGAACTCGGGACACTGCGCTTGCCAGGCAAACTCTTAGCGTGCTGAGCCGTCTCCCCGGCCCCTACATTCCTGAACACACTTTCGCGAGTTGTTGACTGTGCAGAGAAATGTTAAGCAGCAGCAGTTAGTCACTGGAGATGGGGGCTCTGGGGCCCAGTTAGTGCCGGCGGCCCCGTGACTCTGAGTGCTGCCCTGTGCCTCGGCTGTGTGGTGGGGACTGTTGAGCTGTGCCTCTACCTCCTTCTTGGCCTGCCTGTCTGCTTGCGGAGCAGCCCCTCAGCTGCCTTCAGATGCTCTGTCTGTAACGTGGCCAGAACTTGGAAGTTACAGAGCTGAGCTGGACAGAATTGCCCCTGGTTGGACAAACAGGCTCTTCAGGAGGCCCTGGGCGCCAGCGACCCCTTGGCTGCAGTCTGACCTCACCTTCACAGCGTTTAGGGCTGCTGACCATTAACAGCATATTATAAGAAGATTAAGTCCGCGACATTTTCCACAGCGGATCTGTGGCTGTGAGTGGCTTCCACAGAACATTATTTTTTAAATGCTTGACTTTGTGTAAGCTTTCCTTATCAAGTGTATTTTATAAAAGTTACTGGACTTTTTCATATAATTTTGATAGACTCAAATTTGAGAGTCCATTTAGGGCTGGAATACTAAAGGCATTCCTTACATACCATTAATATTCCAATACTGCGCTTGGCAACATTTTGATTCTGAGGAGGGGACTTGAGTTCAAGGTCAGAGAGATTGACTCGTGCTGTTCATTATAACCAATTATTCTGTGACAAATGAGTTTGAGATCAGGCTGAGAATTCTGTATGAAAAATCAATAGTTCTAATCAGGGCCTTTCAGGTCATTTACACCCCACCTTTGTTGGTTTGTCAGGGAAGAGCCAGATAAAACCCATGTGACAGAGGCCTCCCTGCTAGTGCCATTCCTATTGGAAACATGTTTCGATATCTGCAGTGAGTGGTTTAATTGGTTTTAAACTTGTAAATGAGTGGAAATTTACATTGTTTCATTTTTAATATTCTGATAAGATTTTCTAAATTATTTTTAACTGTAATTTTTTTTACCCCTTCCCAGAGGAAGGAGTTATAGTTATAGTCAGTCTTTAGCCAGCATTGAATGTTTCCTTTCATATACCAGGTTGAAAGTTTTTTGGGAAATGCCTTCCTGGTAGAGTGGTCACCTTGTCTTTGCACAGCCAGGTAAGCCATGTTTATCTCTCCTTGTAGTTTCCTGATGAAGATGAAGAAACAAGATTATATCGCTTAAAGATAGAAGAACAGAAGCGCCTAAGGGAAGAGATCCTGAAGCAGAAGGAGCTCCGGAGGCAGCAGCAGGCTGGTGCTCGGAAGAAGGAGTTGCTGGAAAGACTTGCGCAGCAGCAGCAGCACCTCTGTGCCACTCATGCCCTGGGAGAAGAGGAGGAGCAGGTGGCCACCCCTTCCCCCACCAATGGGAACCCCCTGCTTCCCTTCCCAGGTACTCAGGGCAGGCAGAATGTGAAGACAAGACTTCTTGTGAAAAACCAAGATGTCACTCTTCCAAGTGTTCAGTCCAAAACATCAAACTTTGTACCATCTGGTGCTAATGTGCAGTATCCGGGACAGCAGGCAAAACCACTGAAACATTTGAGACAGGCCCGAGCAGTACCTCAGAGTCAAACACACCAGTTACTGCAGATCAAACCTGCAGATGTGGAGGAGCCCTCGTCCACCCCTCAGGCAGCCCGCGTGCCGTCCCTGCAGGCCCGGACCCAGGAAATAAAGCCTGGTGTGAAGAGGACAGTCATGCACCGGGCCAACAGCGGAGGCGGCGGCGATGGGCCCCATGTGAGCTCTAAGCTCAGAGTGATTAAGCTGTCAACAGGGGTAAGCTATCTACAGATTTTATGTTTGCTTCTTGAATCTGTTTCTCTTAGTTAAAACGTTTCCTGACAGGTACCTTCAGGCTTGCCGAGGCCACATTTAAGTGAAGAGGAACTGTCTTGGGTTGTGATAAACTGTACAGATCAGTTAATGTATGTAAAGCACAAAGGCTTTTCTGAAAAATGATGTTGTTACAACATTTTTTTAAAAAGAGGGCAAGTGGCTTGTGGCCCGCTGCTTGGCCACACTTCTGTGCAGCCAGTCTCAGCCTGTTGAAAGTCACCTGCTGTTCCTGTGCACTGCTTCACGTGTGTTGTGTCAGTTGTCCTTTGAAAGACCGGTGTGACATCCTACAGGTGCACACTGCTCAGTTTCTCAGCTTTTTGTCAATAATTGGTCATAACACAATGCCCTACACACAGAGGAAGTAATTCGTTGTGTGCAGGTTTAGTTCAGTAAGTGCCCGCGGGCGGCACGTTCATGTGTCAAGAGTCCAAGCAGTACCTTCCCAGACACTTATTCATATCCTGTTTCCCAGATAGTGTTACTCTATTTGCTAAAAGGTATGACAGGATTCTAAATTGAAGTCACACACAGTCCCGTCCAAAGCAGAGCTCACCTGGTCCCCAGTTCTTTTGGACAGCGCTTAGTTCAGATCGCTTGGAGGAACGCAGAGGAATACACATTCCCCCATAGCGTGGATGCCTCGGTGCTCTAGACACCAGGAAATTATGCATGTGGGTTCCCAAGACAAGAGCCCTCTGAGGGCTGCGTGGATCACATGCTCCCTTCTCCTGCCACTCTGTCTGAGCTGCATCTGCAGCTGTGATTGCACTGGGCTCCATGCCACACGCCAGTGCCTGTGGGTTTGATGTGCTGTGTAACAACACACCCGGTTTGTTGTGTGCCGTTTCGTGTTATAAACTGAGGCACAAATGAGAGCTGTCCACACAGGCTTCTAGAGTAAATCAGCTAATGACATTTACTTAAAACACAAGGGTCGGCAAGATAGCTTAGCAGTCTAAAGCACCTTTTTAGGCAAGCTTAGGCAGGTGCAGGAGACCGCAGTTTTATCCCTGGCACCACATGCCATGCCAGCCCTGCCCTCGGTGGGCTAAGCCAACCAAAAAAAAAAAAAAAAAAAAAAAAAGAACCCAAAAGGTGCATTGAGAAGGAAAGTAGCTGGATAGGGACCTCCCAATAATCCCAGCACTTGTGAGGCTGAGGCAAGAAGATGCCTGTGCGTTCCATGCATGTTTACTAAGCACTTAGAGCTTTGTTTCCTCTGAATCTGTTGTTTCTCATGTTGGCTTCCTCTGAGTCCAGCTGTTGATAAACAGGTGAAGGTTGTAGAACGTTACTTGCGTATTACAAGAGTGCCCTCAATTCTGTTCTCTTGTCGCCTATGGCACCCCAGTGCTCCTTGGTCACCGTGATTGTCGTGGCCGCCTCTCTGGCCTTCTCTTTGCTGTATTTGTAGTTTGAGTCACAAGCCTCTGAGGAGGCTGGGCTCTTGCTGGAAGCCAGCCTCGCTGTGCCAGCTTACCCTGGCTGTGTCACAGCTGCAGGTGCAAAGATGTGGTTGTTGTCTGCTCCAAGGGATGGCTGCTGGAGAAGCAGAGTTCTGCCTTCACAGAGCAGCTCATGCATTAAACACTTTTTCTTTCTAAAAATTCTTTTTCGGGTTTAAACTTTTGCTGTCTCTTTTTGCATTGTAACCCACATATATTTATACTTCTGAAGTGAGTATCAGACCTTATCACAGCATGATGCAATAGTTTTTCAATAAACAGGAAAAATAAAAGCTGTTTTCCAAAGCTTTGCTTCCAAATCTGCCTTCCAGTTTGTATTATTGAGTCTTCGCAGGGTCAGTGCCAGGAAGCGGCTCTCCAGGAACATGGGAGCAGCTCTCACTGCTCAGAGGGCCCATCTTCTGCCTGTGTTTGGCTGAAGCCTGGTTTGGGTTTTTTGTTTGTTTGTTTGTTTTAATTTTTTGGTGGGTGGATACTTTTTTTTAAGATAGTATATTCCTAATTATGGCTCAGTGCAAGTTGTATCTGTTGGAGACATTGCAAAAAGGGGACGTTATACCAAGTGCCATCTGTGCCCTTGGCTGCTGCTGTAGCTTCAGGACCTGGGCGGTTTCTGCCGGTTGGCTTTGGTGTCGCTGTCGCGCTCCGCCTGGGAGAATCTTATGTGAGCCCAGGGCTTAGCCACACTCTACAGCTGGGGCTGGCCAGAGGTCGCATATGGGGAAGATTCATTAACTGTTAGGTATATATTTTAGTTTTATAGTTATTTATTTACTTATTTATTTTTCATGTATTTAGTACAGGGACTATAGGGTCTTGCTACAAAGATGGGACTCGTAGTGATCCTCCTATTTTCAGCCTCCCAAGCATTGGGATTACAGGCACCATGTCCAGTCTCAGTCTCAGTCTCAGTCTCAGTCTCAGTGAGCCCTGGGAGTGGGGCCAACACTACACGCCAGGGATCAAATCCCGGTCCCTGCTCCACAAGGAGTCCATGAATGAAAGCGTCTGGTGGACAGAAATCGTGTGATAAACTTACTTTCTTTGTAGAATGCTCTGAGGCCCCCAGGTGGAACCTGTGGCCTCGTGCTGGGTAGCAGCAGTGGCTGCCTTTGGCCCACTGCTCCCTGGCCCACTGTAGGAGATAGAGGCCACCTATTCCCCTCTCACAAGCCAGGTCTCAGAGAGGCCATGTCACTGGTCTGGGACTACACAGCTAAGTGATAGGCTAGATGCACACTCTGGTTAGGTTCTGCATCTCAGACTCTTTTCCCGTCTTTATGTAGCTATTATAGCTGCAGCTCTTCTGTTGTTAACTATTTCCACTGAGAGCTGCTGTTTCCTGTAAATAGGTGGCAGTAGGATGAACTCAGAAGGTTGCTAATGGAGGCTTCAGGAAGAAGGACAGCGAGTAGGGGTCATTTTCTTGGTGACCCTTGCCAGCTGGCAGGGACTGGCTGGAGTAGGCCGCAGAGCAGGGCTCGGGAGACGTGGAGAGCCCTCCTGCAGGCACAGGGCTAGCGGGCGGTGCTCCTTCATCCCTGGCCACTGCCAAGCGGAGAGGATGCTTGTGCATATAGTGAAGGGCAGTGCTGCCTGCCACCTGCTGGAGACACATCTGTGACCCGTCTGATGTGTCAGTGGAGGTTGGATTTTATGTTTAAAGCTTGGAGGGGAAACATTGGAGGACTTGGAAGTTGAGAGGCCGTTCCTGTGAAGCTAGTTGCTGTTTATGCGAGCTGTTTTTCCTTCCTGTTGTCTGGATTTGATGGTTGAGATTACTGAAGTTGAAAAAAAAATCATGTAGCTTGTAATGTTGGATATCAGCAAATATTCTGAAGTTTCGTGTGCCTCCTTATTTGTAAAACCCTACTTAAGGAATAGTATTAATGGAATAATTCCCCTACAGCATCTCTCAGAAAGCTGTTTTTAAGTGCTTGATTTTAAGAAAACAAGAAAAAGCTTTTTATCATAGTTTTGGTCATAACCAGTACATAATCCAAAAAATAAAACTATTCCATTATAACAGAGCAAACAAAATATGTAAACCTTTTATTTAATGTAGGTTTAAGTGTAGTATCTTTGGCTGTTCTTTATGACTAAAGACAGCAAAAGCCATTAGAGTAAGCTTACGCCCCAGGGCAGTCCTTAGTGATAGCTGCAGGCCTTCAGCTCTGCTTCCCAGTCTCTGTAGTTTTGGGGTCTTGGTTTTTCTGTTGATGTCACCTTGGTCACTGCCCTAGCTGCCTCCCCTATAAAATGAGGCTCCCTTCTCCTCGGCTTGTTGGAAGGAGTGCGGTTACAGCCTGTGTGGGGGAGCAGCAGAGGGCTGCAGTAGCTCGGTAATGCCACTGCTCTCTTAGCTTTTGTTTTCAAGGAGGAGCCGAAGGCTTAGGCAGAGTAGCTTTTTATAGTGTTCTTTATGTTTTACTCTGATCGAGGTAATGAAAATTTTAGGAATTTGGCTGCCAATTCAGTAAATAGTCCTTTGTTCTGTGGGCCACACAGAGAAAAGGGAGACAGAAGGAACTTCCCACCAGGAAAGCCAGCTGTCCACTTGTGATTCGCTTGTATTTTATTTTTAAAAAGCTGTCAGAATGCTGTGAGCAGAAGCTTGCTGCGTGGCCCTGAACTGGCTCTGTGGCTCTCTTTCTCTCCTGCCCTCTCTCTCAGAAGTTGTGCCCAGATGCGGAGGAGAGGTGTGCAGTGCCCTGGGCTCCTAGGGCTATAGGTGGGCTCTTGCTACTTGGCGGTGAGAGGTTGTAGGGGCAGTGCAGGAGCTGGGTGCCTGTCACGTTTTGCAGCTGTTTCCACCTGCTGAGCTGGCTCGGCCTTGTTTCATTTTGTGCACAGAACTTTTCCCAGGCTGTTTGTAGGTAGGTTGGAGGCACAGTGCTACCGTCTCAGCCCAGGGACACTGCTTGCAAAACTGCAGTTGCCTATTATTATGAAAAGTGGGAAAGTTTCATGTTGATATGACCTCATTATCCAGGCCAGGGCCATCTAGGCTTACGTGCTCTCTTTGTGGTCTCCTTTAATCTGTGACATTTGCACAACCATTTGTTGTTTCTTTCTTTTACTTTTTTTAAACAAAGTGTATTTGGTGCAGGGTCTAACTACGCAGCTCAGAGTCCTGTCTCAGCCTCCCCAGCACTGGCGGGGAGGATTACAGGTGTACGCCACCATGCCTAGACTTGCGGCGTGTGGTGTTGGGGATTGAACCCTGGTCTCTGTGCTTGCCTGAGCTAGTGTTAGACCTCTGAGCTATCTTGTCAGCCCTCATTTATTGCTTCTTGCCCTTGACGTATTTAAGGAACAGGGCCAGTCATTTTGTTTTGAATGTCCTTTAACTTGGGTTTGTCTTCTGTTTTTCCCTCAGGGGTGTCAGGTTGGGCTGTTAGGGCTGGCTGGCCACAAGCGGAGGTCTGTGCTGTGTTAGCAAGATCATCTCTGGTCACTTGTGAGGTGCTG